AAACATCCGTTTCTTTTTTCCTACAATGGAAGTCAATGGTTTCAAACATTTTTCAAAATATCTTCTTTTAGTGTTCAAGTCAGGAGCCATGCCCATAAACCCTCACTTGTCACAAACATGTTTGACGTTCTATTTTCATGTTAAACGCAAAAAGAAGACAGTTTGAAAAATGTTAGTAACCTGAAACCATTGACTTCCATAGCATTTGTTTTTTTTTCTTACTATACAAGTCAATGGTTTATAACATTGTTCAAAGTATCTTCTTTTTTGTTCAAGTTAAGAGCCGTGCCCACAAACACTGACATGATCAGCAGCTACAGAGTTAAATAATAAACAAAGAGCACTAAAAGGGATTGTTCACTCAAAAAACTAAAAATTTTCATCATGACACAAAAAAGAAGATAGTTTGAAAAATGTTAGAAACCTGTAATCATTGACTTACTTAGTAGGCAAAAACAAGTACTATGGAAGTCAATGGTTACAGGTTTCGAACATAGGGCTTTGCGATAAAACGGTATCTGTATTTATTAATGGTACCACATGGTCAAAAACTATTTTTTTGGTTTCTTTTCTTCTGACCAACACCAGAACAATGTTGTGTACGCTTTGCAAAAAATAAAAAAATAAATAAAAATTCTAACATTTTTCTAAATATCTTTAGTGTTTGGAATGACTTGATGAAAAGTAAATACTGAATCATTTTAATTAGTGCAGCATCTGAGAGTTCCCCGTGAGATCTTCATAAGAGATTATTTTGAGGCAGGTGGATTGAGGTAATAGTGTTCATTAAAGAATGAATGTTCGTTACCGCATGGGTGTAGCAGTTGGCGGCGTGCTCATAACATGTGGGCTGGTAACGGCAGTTTGCAGCTGCCCGTGTGTTCATAAACCTGAAACACAACAAACGGTGCATTCACAATTAATAATGCACTGGAAATTAGGCTGACTTCATCTCATGTACAGTTGGAGCAATGTTGTAAAACATTGTGTGTGTGTGGGTGTGTGTGTGTGTGTGTGTGTGTGTGTGTGTGTGTGTGTGTGTGTGTGCGTGTGTGTGTGTGTTGAAGTACTACTAAATACATAATCTAAAGTTGAAGATAAATTAAACTTAAAATAAGATTTTAAAAAATTATTTAAAAAAATAAGATTTTTCAAAATAACCATTCATTTTAAATAAATAAAAAACAATAAATCTGGGGAAAAATTATTATTATTTTTTTATTTTTCAGAAAATGTCTGAAGAGGAATTTATAATGTATTAAATACAACTTTTTTTATTTAAAAATATCTTTTTTTAAATATGAGAAAAATAAAACCAATAACTTAAAACAAATTAAAAAACAATAAATCTGAATAAAATTAAGCTGAAATAAAAACATAAAATACATTTTTCTAATAAAAAAAATAAGCAAAACAAAATGACTGAACAAAAGAGGAATTGATAAAATAATAACTAATAATAAGATTTATATATATATATATATATATATATATACATATA